TTGCCAGCATATTCCATGTGCTGACCCGTTTTCGGGCTGCAACGTTAATGTTGCAGACTTTTCATACGACGATTAAGGAGTTTTTAGGTCGTGGTTCTATACTCATTGATGCCGTTGGAGTTGATGGACTCACTTATCTTCCAAGCCTTCCGCTGTTATCATTATTAGATGGCCTTAAGCCATATTTATTGTAATAAGTTCTCTTTTGAGACATTCGATGTAATAAGTGTGTGATTGCTACTCTGCTATAAATCCTCCGAGTACTGTGTGGTGTCAGACTGTTTAAGGTCTGGTCGCTACAGTTATAGACCGTAACTAACCGAATTGTAGAAATGAGCCTAAGAATAAATGGGCCCTTAGAAGGCCGAAAGGTAACACGGGCTGGAAACGGCCGACGGAATAATGGGCCGTTAATGGGTATAAAGCGATACACTGTTCATTATGGGCCAGTTTTATCTTGGGCCTTTAATGGGCCAGAGTTACAAAGGGCCTCATATGCGCCGAAATACATCATGGGCCATACATGGGTTGGAAGTTACAATGGGCTGGAATCATATTGGACGGCCCAGATGAAGCTACTGGGCTTAATTCTGATAGGCCGTAACGGGCCGGGAGTTAGCGGGCCGTAAATGGGCTATATACAAACAGGCCGTTAACAGGCTTTCCATGGGCCGTCCCATTACCTTTTAATGAAGTCAAATGGGCCGGCCTTTTCACCGGAATGGGCCTCTGTTGAGCCGTGCCACGTGTCGATGTATCATAGGCGCCTCCTGTCCAATGAGTGGATGACATCTGTCCCAACGTTGAGCCAACACGTGTTTCCTCTGGCCAATGGGAATTTTAGACGTGGAAAATCACCATTGGTCTGGGCTGTTAACCGATTATCAGATCCAAAACTGGACCCGATAGCTTAACGGCGACCCATTACGGTAGATGCCACGTGTTGGTCACCCTTAACGAAAGCACTTCTATGACGCATGATTTATCATCATGGAAGTGGACACTTCTGTGATGATAATTTTGGGAATGTAATGGAACACTTCTACGACAGCACAGGTATGACTATCTTGATTCTGTCATAAAATCATCATGGATGTACATGCATGACAGAAAACATGACCTACTATGACAAACACGTATCATCACGGAAGTGTATTTTTTTGTAGTGGTATAAGCCATGGTAAAGTTGGAATACAGTATATATGATGCAAAAATAAAATATGAATGGGTTTGCAACATTACTTAGAGTGGTGATTTTCTTTGTTATACTAACGGATCTCACAAAGGTTTTGTTGAGTTTTGTGTGATTGAAGTTTTCAAGTTTTGGGTGAGATCACGATGGATGAAGGAATAAGGAGTAAGAAGAGCCTAACCTTGGGGATGCCCCATGGCACCCCAAGTTATTATCCAAATAGGAACAAGCAACTAAGCTTGGGGATGCCCCGAGTGGCATCCCCTCTTTCTTCTAACGACCATCAGCATTTTACTTGGAACTATATTTTTAGTCATCACATATCATGAGTTTTGCTTGGAGCGCCTTGTATTATATGAGTCTTTGCTTGTTTTCTTTTTGTTTTGTGTCAAGTATCCTTGCTGAACACACCTATCTGAGAGAGCCAAAATTATGCTATGCTTTTTTAGAATTGCTTTTTATGCTTCACTTAAATTTTTTGAGCTATGGAATTGCTCCAGTGCTTCACTTATATCTTTTTGAGCATGGTGTGCTTTAATATTTTGAAGAAATGCTGTCAAGCTTCACTCATATTTATTTGAGAGTTAGTAAAATTTTGAAGAAATTCTCTCATGCTTCACTTATATTATTTTGAGAGAAGAAAATTTTTATGCTCATGTTCTTCAGTTATATATGTTTGAGCTATCAAAAGCAACATATGAATCTAGGCCCAAAGTGATAGATTTCAAGAGGGATATAATAAAAACTTTCATGAAGATCACTGGACAAAATAAACTTGATTCTTTGTAATAGTTTTGTGATATAAGGATAATGATATGTGAGTCATGTTGGTGGTAATTATGCTTTAGTAAGAATATTGGTGTTAAGGTTTGTGATTCCCTATGCAAGCACGAAAGTCAATAGTTATGCAATGCAATTATATCCTACTTGTGGTGCATTATTCGGTGTTAGTTATGCTTAATGCTCTCTTATGTGATTTTTTGTTTCTTGGTTGGATGCTTCTCAATCTATTTGTTAGCTTTCCCTTGCACTAAGTGGGAATACTACTTGTGCATCCAAAATCCTTAAACCCGGTTTTGCCATATGAGTCCACTATACCTACCAATATGCGGTATTTCCGTGCCGTTCTAAGCAAATTTGTATGCGTCGCCCCCCGGCCGCTTCCTAGGGACGGATCCCTCGAGCCCCGGGGGACGGCACTTCAGGAGGCCCGACTGCCGCCGGTTCCTCAGTAGCAGCGCCGCCATCGTTCGACAGCGACCGCTCCCCTGCGCCCGCTTCTGGGGCGGGCATCTCACTGGCGGCAGGTAGGGGGGCCACGAAGACGGGGCTCTCATGAGGCCCTTCAAGGCCAACTGGGCATAGTCCCCATTCGTCGAAGAGGGGCATCTGCTTTACGAACTCCACCTTGTTGGAATAGCAGTACAGTAAACAACCCTCCTCCAGCAGGTTGGCTGGCATCGGGTCGCCCGTCAGGAGCTCGAGCACCGTGCGCCGCGCCTCGGGAGGAAGAGCCGGAGCCTGAACCCTCATGCGGTCCCAGTAGCCAGAGAAGATCCGCATATGCCAGGAGTGGTGCTGAAGCGGAGAGATGCGACACCAGATGAACTCCTTCACCACCATAGCACTATAATAGGAACCCCCCTCAACAACGCACCGATGTGTTGCCTTTTGTCCATATAAGCGTTGCTAAGGTCTACACCAACGAATTATTATGCGTTGTCGTTGGTGGCGTTGCAAGGGTCTACAACAACGTATATAGATCCGTTGGTAATCTCAAGAATAATGTGTTGCAAGCCAACAACAGATTCATCCAATGCTTCTATGTGTTGTTGTTTCCACAAATAGAATAATCACTATATATATTCATTTATAACAGTAGGTTGTTCAAATAGCAGTACATGACACCTTTTTTTGAACTCGCACTACAAGGTACAACTTCAGTAAAATTCGTAGAAATGAAACTAATATATTGATTCAAAGGCATAATTTGTTACATTGCAATGCAAGTATCGTCTATTAGGACTACATCAATTTCCTAGAAAATGAAACATTTTAAAGCATATAAATTTCTAAAATTCTGTGAACTGTCTTCACTCTCCTCCAAGTACCAAAGATCAGCATAAATTATCCAAGGATCCAAGTAATCACCTAGTATTGAACTTCTCATCAACCTATAAAGAAAAAAGCATAATACTATTCAGTTATAAATTCGAAATTTGAAGTCTAAAAATATACATGCTATGCATTCTACGGAAAGGATCTACATAAAAATACCACGTGTCCAAGAGAAGATGTTTCGGAGAACAGACATAAGCATATGTATGTCTTACACATAACTTAGTAGAGTTCAGATTAAGACACTAATGACGTGTTTGGTTCGCAGAAAAATAGCGGTTTCTGATTTCAATGCTTCCTGAAACCATACCATTCACCTGCAATGTCTTTTATAGCTGTGGTTTCTGATACAGGACTTCACAAAACTAAAAATGCCCAGATCGAAGCTGATTGGAAAACTGAAACATATCTGCACCAACCAAATGAAGCGTGTTTTCCATAGAGCCAATCGGAAGCAAAGCTTCCCAATACGATAAAATCAATATGTTTCTGGAGCCGAACGAGATGTGTCGCAGGCATCTTTGATCAATCGGATGTGCCTAGTCACTATCAACAACCATCAACATGTATTTACTACTAACAATTATCCAAAGATTGTATTATATTAATAATGAGATGAATTCAACAACCAACTAGGTGGTAAGTACTTAGATAACAATAATATCGACTAAAGAATTGTATTTCTTTTTTCCAAAGGACTCTGCACTAATTAGTTTTGCTTTCTATGATGTATTAAGAGAGAAAATATCGATGCCATCAGCTTGAAAACCGTCACACAAAACTGCGTAGTTACCTGAGAACTACAACTTCGGACATTAGAAATTTTCAATCCATGAGTGCATTCTCAGAACCTGTAGAGGGAACAACATGAAAAAGGAACACATCATCAGATTTGGGGCAGTTGGCATTGTTAACTGTGAAATGGAAAAGGGGTGTTGTTGGATAACTTTCTAATCCACTCTGCTTGCCATCATGCCTGGCCTGAGCCCCTGACGCAGCCTTGCTGGATAGCATGATCTAATTATTACAGACAAGATCATGCCCTAATTAGAAGAGAGGACATGAGAGAATAATTCATTAGAAGTTAGGAAAGATAAATCGGAGGAACCATACTATACTGAGCCGCTATAGGAAGTTTGGTTCCACTCTTACCGCAACACCACCACAATCTGAGATGAGGACATCAGACACAAACAAATATTTAGAAGAGATGAGCCACGACTATGGTCTTGGCCGCCCTAGATGGGGCATGAATTCGTTTGGGCTTCTCTAGGAAAAAGTTTGGATGTTTTGTTTCTAGAGAAAGTGAGATCCAAGATGTTTACACAAGAAGAGAAATTGATTTGCCACTAATTAATTGTTGAAGACCAACCTAGTACATAAGCTAAATGCATATTTATGAAAATGCATCAAAAGGGGACCTATGTAATGGCTGAACAGTCTGAATAAAAGCAGACCATGGCTGATTAGTTTTTTTTTCAATACTTACCTAGTTTTAAGAAATACTACCCATAAGCCATTGCTGCCAATGTGGCATATTATATATCAAAAGAATTTGATCTTTGTGACCTTTTAGCTTCCTAATGTTGTATCATTTGTCATGCCATTCAATAACTGAACATCAAAATCTATAGGAATGTACAAAATAGGGTAATGGGCAAAATATGGGAATGTACAAAATACCTAATCGATGAGCGAATGGGTTACCTTACTCTCCGACGATGTAGTAATCTGTACATATCTATCTGCCCTGAAGCTGCATGCCATTAAAGTAAGTTAATCCCTTACAAATCAGCAAAGGCAAGCTAAAGATCTTAACATAGTCCTATTTATTTGTGCATCTATTGTCAACTGTTTGAAACATGACCTGGAAACTTCATACCAAAATCACAGCTACTCCAAGTATTTAGAGACTGACAAACTGTTAGCTTTCATCTAGTAGGCACAAAAAATTCATGGAAAAAATCACATGATAATATACAGGTGGAAAATATAATTAGATACACTCGACACATATCTTATTGGTGGTCAGGAAAGTTTGTGCTACTAACCTACTTGTCATGGAGCAGTACAACTTCAGCGCAGAATTGATTTGCAGAGCTTGGAAATTTCATGGTATGACAACCCGAAGCCAATGTAGAGGAAGCCTGGAGCTCCTGCATAGATGTCAATAGAGTTAATCATATGTTCAATGCATGTTTTATCTTGAAAACAGAAGGGGGGAATCATCAACAACTGAACCGTAGCTACATTACGCGCCCATAAGGCAATTTGTGTCAGATCCAACCTGCAGTCAAGATTAAGTGCCGACATAGGTAGCCTGCGAGGCACAACACCGTCAGGCCTAAGCGCAGCAACTCGTGTGCAGACGCGAGGTAGTGGGCCTAGAAACCATTGGTGAGAGAATCATGCCAGACACCCGTGGCACTAGGGTTCAGAATAAATCACTTGTGTATATAACAGGAAGGTTACAATCCATACTTCGACACTATGAAATGGTGTGCACCACGATTCATCTGTGTGTGCTCCAAATAAACAAACAGGGTACCAGTTCATGATCATTGTTGTTGGTTTGAACTGAAGGTGAGCATGTGTTACCACCAAAACCTGTGATACCAATAGTTCGAAGTTGCATATCAATTTGTCCAGAACGTGCTCTTATGGAATAAACAGTTAAAGATTACAATGATTCGGAGGAATTGTGCATGTCTCTCAAGATGAGTGTTGTTACCGGCCCTACAATGTTGCTGGCTCCACCTCCTCCCTCTCTCCATCACCACCAACCTCCGACAGTCAAATCCCGTGCAGAGCCGCCCCGGCGAGATCTGTTTCTCCCGGAGTCAAGTGTCGCGCTCACGAGTTGGGGGACCTCGTGGAGGCAGGTAGTGGTCTACGCGGTGGGGGGCCACGGCGGCGGGGTGGTTCCTCCAGGGCTCCAGCGCTGGTGCATGCTTGCAGCGGAGAGGTACGGTGGATGCGGTGGTCGGTGGTGCACGGAGCTGCTGCTCTCATGTACGCTTGGGCCCAGATCTGGCCAGGCCAGTTCGGCAGCGGCGGCTGCTCGCGCACGCATGGTGGCCTGCTGCGGCCATCATGGGCTGGGGACTCGCGGTGTGGATGGCTTGTGGTGGCACTAGTATGTTCCTCAAAACAATTGGCGGCGGTGGCGGCAGCGTCATAGTCATGGAAGTTGGGCGAGAAAGGGGAATCAGGCGAGAGGGAGATAGATGTTTGATAGAAAAGTGTATTTTTGGGTACGGGGAGGTTAGCTCAAAGTGTGGGAGGGGTGGGGAGGTGGAACAAACAACACGTGTTATGTATCATTGGTAGATATCCGTTGCGATAGGTGGGTTTTTGTTGTAGTGTAGGCGTCGTCACTCCGAGGTCCTTCAGCCTGGCCAGCCGGTGCCAGACATGGGCGAGCCGCCGATCGGTGAGCTTTGCGTGTCCCCAACCGGAGCTCGGAGCATCTGGAATCCGTGGGAGCAGCAGTAGGGGGCTGCACACACCAACGTCCACAAACACCCACCGCTTCCTGAAGCCTCCGACGACCGGCGAGAGCTCGAATTCGATCCCCGAGCCGGCCGTCGCCGCGACAGCCTGAAGGGATACACACCCTGAGCTCTAGAGAGCATCTGCCAGGTGCAACGAGAAGAAGTGACGAAGCAAGGCCACGAAAGGGGCAATGCCCACCATGGCTTCACAGACGAAGGCAAAGACAACAAGAAGGATCATGGATTGGGGATCGAGATGCAGCGCATTGATCTGGTAATGCGAGAGCACCGTGTTGAAGAAATCAGAGGAGGAATCAGGCCTGCCCAGTGGGCATGAAGATGGATGGGGACCTCGGTGGCCATCCTGTCAATTTTGGCGTGGGAAGCAGGCCAAGCCACCGTCGCCCCCACTCATTGAAATCAGCGGCAAGCGCCGGGCACACCTTGCCCATCGCCTCTTGGTTGAGCACCACCGACCGCTCAATGGCGAGCTCGAAGACTGGCATCGCGAGGGCCGAGGTACAGGACTCCTTCTTCCCCTTCTTCTTTCGGCTTGGTGCCATGGCGGCGGGGGGAGTTGGTGTCAGATTGGACCGGGGGAAGAAATCCGCTGCCTTCCGGAAGATGGGAGCTACGGAGCATGTTGCGTGTAAAGGAGGCGGAGCTATGTAGACGACAGTAGTTGCCTAGCCAGGCGGAAATTGAGGCTGCATGGGGAAGTGGAGGCGCCCATGCCCCGTCAGTCGCCACGCGTCAATCAAGTCCGCAGGCTCTTGCGGCCCGCGGTGCTCCGCACTTGCCCCTTGGCTTCGCCTCGAAGCCAAGTCCGAGCGTGCCTAGGGCCCGGGGGCTACTGTCGGCGTCCTGGGAACGGGTGTACCTAGACTTGCCTGCCTGTGGCCCAGGACGTGGCTCATCCAGTGGCCTGGTACGACCCATCTTCACCAGCAGCCAGTCAAGACCCTCGCGAGGCGGACGACACCAATACCTCCTCTGGGGCGGCCTCCCTAGGATGGCTCCCGAGGAGTGGAGATATCTATGCAAGGGGCACCTCACGAGGTTCACGTGATGTGAGCCATGACGACCAAGGCCAGGCGGGCGCCAGCAGGTGGAGAGTACTTGTTTCCTCTTTGGTGCTAAGGGGGCAAGTGCGGGCGAGGAGTCCCGAGGCATTAGGCAAAGGTTTCCATATCGGTGCAACAAGACCAAGACCAGCAGGATGGCAGGACAGAGGTCACCACGAAACCCACGTTGGCGTCACCACCAGAGCCTTTGGCAGGCGAAGACCACCTTTTGTCAGAATAACTTGTACTAGTTGTCTCCCTTCGAAATTTGCCGTTGTGGGATCCCTTCCCGCCTAAACATTTGGGAAGAGGACCAGGGCCTCTATAAGTAGGACTAGCCACACCCTTAGCGGGGGACGGATCATTGAGACCATCCACACACACACAAGCTCATCAAGCTCAAGAACACCTCTCATCAGGAGGCTATTCGTCCACTGTATTAGTTCATCCTCAGCCTACAAGGCAATCCACCACACCACATTGGAGTAGGGTATTACACCACAACGGTGGCCCGAACCAGTATAAACTCTCGTGTCTCTTGTTCCTTGAGTTCGGTGAGCTAGGCCTAGAGATCATTGTGAGAGTGAGAGAGAGAGAGCGAGAGAGAGAGAGAGAGAGAGAGAGAGAGATCTTCGTGCGCACCCGAGTGTTCGAACCTCAAGGGTTTGCCAAAACCCACGATCTGACACGGGACCAGATGGCTTGCGACCGGGCCGCAGTGAGCCAGGTCAGCTGAAGCTGGATGGCCGTGCCGGCGGATGGCGGGGGAGGGTCTTGCCAGCGCCGATCTCCTGGAGCTAGCTCGCTGCCCAGGTCGTCGCGAGCCATCAGGGTGCGGTTGCCCCGAGTTCGAGTCCGGCTAGAATGAGCCTCACTGGGGTGCGGAGAAGATGTCGTATTGCGCTGTTCGGGGTCCTTGGTGTGGTGCAATTCGGACGCTGCGAGAGCATTGAAACGGTCCTGTTGCGTGTTCGAAGTAGCGAGAAGTTCACGCATGCGTTGCAGGCGCTCTTGCAGCTGCTCCAAGCCCACGGCAGCCTCCTCCGTGGTGCGCATGTTCTTGACGGGGGTGTCATAGATGGGTGGGGACGCGCCCAGCGCGCGGCCGATGGCGGCGCCACGTGTACGCACCTCGGCGACCCGGCTGGGCTCAACCGCGGCAGGGGTGAAGCCGTACAGAGCGTCGCGCTCCTGCTAGATGGACTCCAGTCGGCGCTGCGTAGCAACAAGCGTCGTGGACTCATCCGGCAAGCGCTTGCGCTCCACATCTAGCTAAGCCCTAGCCTTTGTGGCGTTGATATCGGTGGTGATGGGGATGATGAGGTTCTGCATCATGGCGCGCAGCGGGTCAGCCGTGCTAGCATGATCTACTGCGGCCATAGCAGTGGCGGCCTTCACTACAAAAAATGCACTTCCGTGATGATACGTGTTTGTCACATTAGGTCACGTTTTCTGTCATGCATGTACATCCATGACGATTTTATGACAGAATCGAGATAGTCATACATGTGTTGTCGTAGAAGTGTTCCATGACAATACCAAAATTATCATCATGGAAGTGTCCACTTCCATGACGATAAATGGCGCATCATGGAAGTGCTTTTGTCAAAGGTAACCGACACGTGGCATCCATCGTAACGGGTCGCTGTTAAGCTATCGGGTTCCGGTTTGGATCCGATAACCCATTAACAGCTCGGACCAATGGGGATTTTCTAGTGTAAAATTCTCAATGGCCATAGGAACCATGTGTCAGCTCTGCTTTGGGACAGATGTCATCCACTCATTGGACAGGAGGCGCCTATGATACGTCGACACATGGCCCAGCCCAACAGAGGCCCATTCAAGTGAAAAGGCCAGCCCGTTTGACTTGGTCAAAAGGTAGCGGGCCGGCCCACGGAAAGCCTGTTAACGACATGTTCGCATATAGCCCATTTACAACCCGCTAACTCATGGCCCGTTATGTCCTATCCGAATTGGGCCCAGTAGCGTCATCTGGGCCGTCCAATATGATTACAGCCCGTTGTAACTTCCGGCCCGTGTATGGCCCAAGATGTCTTTTGGCCCATACGAGGCCCTTTGTAACTCTTGGCCCATTAAAGAACCGTGCTGAAACTGTCCCATAATGAACAGTGTAATGCTTTACACTCATTAACGGCCCATTATTCTGGTGGGCCATTTCTAGCCCGTGTTACCTTTCTGCCTTCTAAGGGCCCATTTATTCTTGGGCTCATTTCCAGCAATTGGTTACTTATGGCCCATCACTGGCCTATTCTGCTTGTGGGCCAAATTCAGCATGTGGGTACAGTCGGCCCGTTTGTGGCCCATTAACCCGTTGGGTTATTTTCATAGCGTCATCAAATACGTCCCATTAACAACCCATGATGAATGTCGATAGAATTAAATCCATTATACATTTTGGCCTATTAATGACCTTTTATGGCCGGGCCATAAACACACGATTTACACTCTAGCACGTTTATGGACAATTTTGCGGACCGTTATTGGTCCACGAATGGCCCGTATAAGGCCCATTGATTATACGGCCCGTCGAGGGCCCATGGATTCTACGGCCCGTAGGAGGCCCATGGTCACTACAGCAGGTAGCAGGACCATGGTTACAACGTTTCGTATGTTCCTCATGGTTATTGTGGCTAGTTATAAAAAATAGGTTATTGTGGCCACTAGAAAAATGCAAAAAAAGAACTGCAGTGACTACAAGCAAACGACTAAACAAGACAATAAGGAAATAAATAATCAACAACTAACGCTAGGCTATTACACATATTACATCCACTGGGCATCAAAGTTCTCCACCAGTGCAAATATAGGGAACAAAGCAACATATCACATACACTGGTTGTCAAACTTGGCGAGCAGTGCAAATAAACGCCACAACAAAACAATTCTAGAATTGTAACCACTTCAGAAGATCTCGAGAAACAATATTCTAGGTACCCAGCATGCTAGCAAGATGCTTAGCAAGCTTATTAACTTTCTCTTGTTTGTCTCTTAAATCCTCCAGCGCTTGCTGTTTCACCAGCAAGTATGCATCTGAATTCTGCAGGGACTTCCTCAGTCCTTCGGCTTCATGTCGCAGCACATCTAATCAATGTCTTTCAACTTGAAGTTCAGACTCAAGAAGAAAAAGTGATTCAGGCAGCTAGTTCGAAGAGCTTGTGCGAGCAGTAGTGGCCAGTAACTCGAACACTACATCAAGACAGGACTTTTGGGTTGTCTCACTGTCGTCAGGATAGTTTTTATTAGCTTTCTTGGAGACCAACAGGGATGTCTCACTATCTTGAACCTTATCTGCATTACTTCCTTTACCATTGCATAACGGGGTACTCCTCTCCAATATTTGGTCTGCAATCTAAAAGAGAAACAAGCAGACACAGGTTTACCATGTTGTATATGAAACTCATTTTTGTAAAGCAGTTCAGTAGTAAAGTGGACATGATAATAGCATGAAACAAACATATATCTATGTACCATGGTCACTGTATGATCTATATCATTCTAGTTCTTGTTGCCAAATCAAGATCGAGACACAGTTAAAAAATACTCCCTCCGTTCCTTTATATAAGGTGTATTTGTTTTTTGATAAAATTTCACAATGTAAGGTG